CAGCTCCCGGCGGGCGCCGTGCGGCCACTTATCCCCCGGGCCCCTCACACCCTCCGGGGGAAGCAGGACGGTGGCAGCTGCCTGGATGATCCCAGTCCCCTTCCTGGTCCTGTGGACCCTTCGGACCCCTCTGCTCAGGGGGAGCCATTTGGGGGGGTGGGCTCCAGGTAGGTGACCTCGGTCCCCACCCCAGGCCCCTGACTCCTCAGCCCCTCTGCCTGGGAGGAGCGGGATGGCAGCAGCTGGCTGGGTGACCCCGGTCCCCCCCCCGGTCCCGTGGATCCCCCGGACCCTCCACTCCAAGCGAGCCGGTGGGTGCGGGACAGCACTGTCGTTGGCGTCAACCCAGTGACAGGGACACACCCCCAGTCCCCTCCCCGGCCCACGGACCCCTCGGACCCTGTGCTCCGGGGGAGCCCGTTGTTTCCGGATGGCTCCAGCCCGGTGACAGGGACACACACCCCGGGTCCCCTCCCCGGCCACACGTCTCTCACCTGCCGAGAGCTGCCGGGCTCAGGCACCGGGGGGGAAGTGCATGGAGCGGCCTCGCTGCAAGAGAGAGGGTGATGAGTGGTGAAGGGTCCTGGCTCTCCCACTCCCGCGGGTCCCGGGCCCACCGGCACTCCGAGAGCAGGGTCTGGGGTCACCTGAGACCACCCCGCACGTGGCTCCGGTGGTGGCGGGGAGGGGCCGAGGTTCGATGCCCCGGGTGGCATCGTCACTGGTTGGGAGGATGGAGGTCCTTGGGGGTGCTAGGGGGTCCGGGGGGGGCGGGGACTCTTGGGATATCCGGGAGGGGTCCGGGGGGGCCCGGGGGGGGCCCGCGGGATGCCCGAGGCCGGGTGCTGCTCCCTCCCGGCTGAAGGAGCCGGGGTACACGGAGCGCGTTCTGGGGGATCCGGAGCCGCGGGGCACGGCACAGCCCCCCCGACCCCCCCACCGCGGCCAGGGGTCTCCGGGGGGGCACTGGGGGAAGCGGAGCGGCGGCCGCGCCGGGACTCGGGGCTGCCATGGCGGGGGAGCCCAGGACGGGGACGGGGACGGAGACCGGGACCGGGGCTGCCGCGAGCGGGCAGGGCGGGACGGGAAGGGCCGGCAGCGGAGCGGAGGGAGAGGAGCGGAGGGAAAGCAGCGTGCGCGACACAGCGGTGGGGAGCGGGGACAGCACCGGCGGGGGACGGCCGGCTCCGGGCGGGCGGGGCGCTGGGACGGGACCGGGACGCGGACCGGGATCGGGACCGAGACGGGACCGGCCGTGCCACGCCCCTCCAGCCCCGCCGCCTCCCTCGCCGTGCCGGTCTCGGTGCCGGTCCCGGTGACGCCGCTTACCGGACAGTCCGGCCGCGCCGGGAGGGTCTGCGCGTCCCCGCGGGGCGGAGGGGCGGGAGCGCGCCGGGGCGAGGCGGGACGGCACCGGGCGTGTCCGCACCGCTCCCGGCTCCGTCCCCGACGGGCGCAGACACCGTGCCCGCAGGGGATCCCCGCAAGGACCGCGCCCGGAGCCGGTGCCGCGGGAAGGGCGGGCGGGGGGACCGGCGGGAACAGACGGGCGGCGCCGGGACTCGAACCCGGAACCCCGGGGCGGGGCGGGCGGGGCGGGGGCGGGGCCGCGGGGGGGCGGGGCGGGGCCGCGCGGGGGCTGCCGGGAGGGGCCGGGGCCGCGCGGGGGCTGCCGGGAGGGCGGCGGGGCCGGGGCCGGGGCCGGGGCCGGGGGGGCCGCGCCGGGACATCGCGGCCATGCAGAAATACGAGAAGCTGGAGAAGATCGGGGAAGGTGCGGCCGGGCCGGGGCCGTGCGGGGCGGCCCGGGGGCCGCGGGGCCCGGACCGGTATCGCTGGCGGGGGCCCTGCCGTGACCCCCTCCCCGCGCCCCACAGGCACCTACGGGACCGTGTTTAAGGCCAAGAACCGGGAGACGCACGAGATCGTGGCGCTGAAGCGGGTGCGACTGGACGACGATGATGAGGTGAGGGGGGGAGGCCGGGCTGGGGCCCCCCGGGCCCCCCGGGCCCCCCCGCCCCCCAACCCGGCGTGTCCCGCAGGGAGTGCCCAGCTCGGCGCTGCGGGAGATCTGCCTGCTCAAGGAGCTCAAGCACAAGAACATCGTCAGGTACCGGGGCGGCCGCGGGCAGGGGGCTGTGGGGTCACGGCACGGGGGCTGCTCCCTCGGGCTGACCCAGGCCGGGGGTGGGAGGGGGCTGCCCGCCCGGGTGCCTTGGGGCAGGGGGGTGGGGGGCTCAGGGATTGCCGCGTGAGATGCCCCGGGCTGGGCAGGGCGCTGAGGGGCTCAGGGACCACCCCCCGTGCAGACTCCACGACGTCCTGCACAGCGACAAGAAGCTGACGCTGGTCTTTGAATTCTGTGACCAAGTGAGTGAGCGCCAGGGGTATGGGGGGATCCTGGGGGTCCCTGGGGGTCCTCGGGGTCCCCGGGGCTCACCACTCCTGGCTGCCCCCGACGCGGCCCCCCTTCGCTCCCCCCCAGGACCTGAAGAAATATTTTGACAGCTGCAATGGGGACCTGGACCCTGAGATCGTCAAGGTGGGTCTGGGGGTCCCCAGAGTCCCAGCCCGGCCCCACAGGGGTGCCACAGTGTGGGGGGGCTGACAGACCCCCCCCGTGTCCCCCACAGTCGTTCATGTACCAGCTGCTGAAGGGCCTCGCCTTCTGCCACAGCCGCAACGTCCTGCACCGGGACCTGAAACCCCAGAACCTGCTCATCAACAGGGTGGGGCACGGGGGGGGGCTCTGTCTGGGGGGGTCACACCTGGGAGCTGGGACTGTCTGTCTGTCTGTCTGTCTGTCTGTCTGAGCGGGTCACACCTGGGGGCTGTCTGTCTGTCTGTCTGTCTGAGCGGGTCACACCTGGGGGCTGTCTGTCTGTCCGTCTCTCTGGGGGGTCACACCTGGGGGCTGTCTGACCGTGACTGCAGCTCCATGTCTCCTGTGTTCCCGTGATGGGGCCAGAGCAGCAGCCACCGCCTGCCCTGGGGTGTGGGGGGCACCAGAACAACCCTCCTTTGGGGTATGGGCGGCACAGGTGGGGCTCCCCACACTGACCCCCCTGCCCCCCCAGAACGGGGAGCTCAAGCTGGCGGATTTCGGGCTGGCCCGGGCCTTTGGCATCCCCGTGCGCTGCTACTCAGCCGAGGTGAGGGGGCTCGGGGGGCTCAGGGGGCTCGGGGTACTGGCTGCCCCGTGCTCTGAGTGTCCCTGTCCCTGTCTGAGTGTCCCTGTCCCTGTCTGAGGGTCCTGTCCCTCCCAGGTGGTCACTCTGTGGTACCGACCCCCCGACGTCCTCTTCGGTGCCAAGCTCTACTCCACCTCCATCGACATGTGGTCAGCTGGGTGCATCTTTGCAGGTTTGTTGGGGGGCCCTGGGGGGTCTGGGGGGCTGCAGGAGCCCTGGGACCCACCCTCTGTCTCCCCAGAACTGGCCAATGCGGGGCGGCCCCTCTTCCCGGGGAACGACGTGGACGACCAGCTGAAGAGGATCTTCCGATATCCTTGGGAATGGGGGGAATGGGGAGCTCCGGGAATGGGGATCCCTGGGAATGGGGACCCCTGGAATGGACCTCCTCTGGGAATCCCCCTTGGAAATGGGGACCCCAGTTGGTAATGGGGAACCTCCTGGGAATGGAGAGCCCTGTGGGAATGGGGACCCCCGTAGGAAGGAAGACCCCTGGGCATGGGGACCCATCTCGGCTGGGCAGGGGGTCGGGGCGGTCGGGTGCCGGGTGCCCCCGTGGTGGCCCTTGACCATCCCCACGCTGCTGGGGACCCCCACAGAGGAGCAGTGGCCGGCCATGGCCAAACTGCCGGACTACAAGGTGAGGAGGGGGCCGGGGGGAGCTGGAGGGGGTGCCGGGGGGGCCGTGGGTCACCTGTGTGTCCCCAGCCCTACCCCATGTACCCGGCCACCACCTCCCTGGTCAACGTGGTGCCCAAGCTGAACGCGACCGGCCGGGACCTGCTGCAGGTGAGACCCCGCCCCTGCCCCCCTCCAACCTCTGTCCCCCCTGCCTGTCCCCCTGCCCATGCCACAGGGGTTCTGGCTCCCCAGGGGTGGCTGCCCTCTCCCCTAACAGCCCCCCACCCACCTGAGGGGAGCAGTGGGATGGGGGGCTGTGGATGGGGGGGTGTCTGTGCTCTCCTCCCTCAGCCCCCCCATGTCCCCCAGAACCTGCTCAAGTGCAACCCGGTGCAGCGGATCTCGGCAGAGGAGGCCCTGCAGCACCCCTACTTCACTGACTTCTGCCCGCCCTAGGGCCCCCCAACCCTCCCTGGCTCCCTCCCCCTTCAAGGGAGGGCAGCCCCCAGCCCCCCCAGCCAGCCCATGCCAGCCCCCCCAAACTGCAGCGTCCCCCCGGTATTTATTAGGTTCTGCCCCAGCTGCAGGGGGCTGGCATGGTGCCCCTGAACCCCCTAGCCCTGGAGGGGACTGAGGGCACTCAGACTCCCCCCTGGGGGCAGGGGACCCCTCCAGGGCATGAGACCCCCCCCAGGACATGGGGCCATGATGCTGGTGGAGGGACAGGACCCTCTGGGACCAGGCATGGGGACCCTGCGGGTGGTGAGACCCCCACCCCTCTTGTCCCTGCTTCCCCCCCCAGCCCCTTCCCTGCCTGGGGGGGTTCTGGATACAGCCCCCCTGGGGGGCGTGGGGGAGGACCCCATTTCTTTTCTAGGGCACTGCTGTATGTGGATGATGTGCGTTTGGAACCCCATAAAGAGCTTCCCCCCGCCCAGTGCCGCCTTCTCCTTCCTGGGGTGTCAGGGACCCCCCTCTGCCACATGACAGACACCTCTCTCAACAACCCCTGCCCCCCAACTCACCCCGTGACCCCCTCAGTGCTGCCCCCTCTTTCCTGGAGCAGCCGTGTCCCCCCACCCCCCCAGCAGCCCGGAGCCAGGGCCTGGGGCACCTCTTTATTTGGGGGGGCTGCAGGGGGGGTTCGCATGTCCAGCGCGGGGGGGGGCACAGGCAGCGCATGCAGGGTCACGGGAGCGGGGCTGCGGGGGCCCCTTGCACCCAGCCCCCCGACACCCCCTCAGGGGGTGGGGGGGACCAGGAGGCTGCCCCGTGGCCCGGGGGTGCCCCCCCAGCCCCCCGGCCGGCGGGGGGGCGGGCTGGGCTCCGCGGCGGGTCCCGGGGGGGCCCTAGAGCCGGGTGACGAGGTAGCAGGTTCGGGGCGACGCCGAGACGGGGCGCGGGGCCACGCAGGGAGGGCCGGGCACTCTGCGGGTGGGCCGGGGGGTTAGAGGGGCTGGGGGGTTCAGGGGGATCGGTTTCCACCCGCCATTCCCCTCCCCCTGTGTCCTGCCAAGCTGGGGGGCTCAGCGCCTCGCCCCCACCCCTCGTGCCCCCCGGGATGCCCCGGGAGCCTCCCAGCTTTGGGGCTCCCCCACGCAGCCGCTGTGGAGCCAGGCTGCTCACCCCCGTCCCCTCCCTTCTGCCCCTCTGCGTCCCGGAGGGGAGACTGGGGGATCCCAGCCTGGCTGGAGGGGCTCCGGGGGGACAGAGGACGCCGGGACAGGATGCTGGAGACCATGATGAGGACGGGGGATGAGGCGTCTGCAGGGAATGGGAGTGTCTGCAGGGAATCGGGGATCTGCAGGGAACGCAGGGGTCCACGCAGGATGGGGGGATCTGCAGGGGATGAGGGGTCTGTAGGGGGATGGGGGGAGTCTGTGGGGAATGGGGGGATCTGCAGGGAATGGGGGGGGTCCGCAGAGAATGGGAGTTCTGCAGGGAATGGCCCCCCGGCCCCGGGGGGCTTCGGGTGCCCCCCCGCGTGTACCTGGGTGGGCGCGGGGCCGCGGGGCTGCCCGGGACCGCCGGGTGCTCCTGGATGGGCGCACGGAGGGACGAGAGAGCGGTGAGCCGGGGAAGGGGGATGAGGTGCGACCCCCCGGGCGGGGGCGGGGGGCGGGGGGCGCGGGGGGTTACCAGGGTGCCGCTGTCGCTCCGGGGGCTCCGCTTCTTCTCCTTGTACAGGCTGAGGAGTTTGTCCCGGAACACCTGGGAGGGAGCAGGTCAGAGCCCCCGGCCCCGAGAGCCCTGAGCGGAGGGGGTGTTGAGGGTGTCGGGGGGCCTCACCTCGTACAGGTAATCGAAGATCTCCAGGATGGTGAGGAGGCTGGCGCCGATGAAGAGCCCCATCTGCCCCCCGATGTCACCTGGCGGGAGGCGGTGTCAGAGAGGACACGCCCCTCGGAGCCCCTCCGGCCCCCCCCCGACCCTCACCGCCCCCGCCGGCCCTCACCCAGCAGTCCTGCCACCTCGTACGCCTTCTTCTGCTCGATCATCTCGTAGTTCAGAGCCTCGAAGAAGATGTCCAGGACCAGCACATTGTCCCTGGGGGACACGGGACGAGGGGACAGTGTCAGGCACAGGAGGCCGGGGGGCTGTGCCAGGCTGTGCTGGGGGGGGGCTGGACTGTGCCGTGGGGTACAGGGGAATGGGCAGAGGGGTCTGCCTGGTGCTGGGGGACACAAGGATGTGCTGGGCTGTACTCTGGGGCCCCGTGCCATGCTGTGCCATACTGGGCTGTGCCACGTAGTGTCATGCCATGCGGTGCCATCTGTGCCATGCCATGTTGTGCTGTGCCATGCAGTGCCACATGTTTTTCCCTTTGCTGGGGCATATTTGCACAGGGTAGGCTGTGCTATGCTGGGCAGTTCACGTGTGCTGGGGACGTATGGCCATGCCTTGTCACACCATCACACCGTGCCGTGCTGTGCCAGTTCAGGGATTCTGGTGATGCCATGTGGCTGTGCCATGCTGTGTCCCACCATCACACTGTGCTGGGGACGCTGTGTGGCTGTGCCATGTCACAGCAGTGCACGTGTGCTGGGGGACACGGTGTGGCCATACTGTGCCGTGTCACATCATCACATCGTGCTGGGCCAGTTCACATGTGCTGGAGATGCCATGTGGCTGTGCCATGTCACACTGTGACACTGTGCTGTGCCAGTTCCCGTGTGCTGGGGACACCCTGTGGCCATGCCATGTCACATCCCTCTGGGCTGTGCCAGTTCATGGCTCCCGGGGATGCCGTATCACACCGTGCTGGTTCATGCTGTGTGCCATGTCACACTGTCACGCTGTGCCATGTCACACCAGTTCACATGCTGGGGGTGCCACGTGGCTGTGCTGTGCCACGTCACACTGTCACGCCGTGCCACACGGTGCGCTGGCGGGGCAGAGGGTGACACAGTAGTGGCGACAGGGGTGGCAGTGTCACTCACGCGATGTACTGCTCTGTCTTGTTGAATTTCTTGGCCAGGTACTTGGCCGAGGCCTTGCTGGGGATCTTCACCATGGAGAGCTCTTTGCCGTAGCGCACCATGGCACAGGGTGTGCGGCACGCGCAGTACTCGCTGTCCTTCGTCACCAGGAAGTCTGGGGGGGCACGGGTGGGACAGGGAGCCCCAGGATCCCTGGCCGGGGGGGACACTCGGGGACAGAATTGGTGGCACGTGGGGGGAACCCAGCCCTGCGTGTCTGGGGACAGTGGTGACCCCCACCCTGGTGAGGGCACAGGCACACTGGAGCCACGGTTGCAGCGATGGGGGCACAGAGGGCACAGGGACACCAGAGCCACGCTCGCAGCAATAGGGGCACAGCGGGGGCAAGGGGTTCCAGGGGTGCCCGGGGCCGTTGAGGGGCCAGGGGTACATACCCAGCGCGGGGTCAGCACACTCCTTGTACTGCTCCGGGGTGCAGACGTTGGCGTTGCCTGCGGGGGAGGCGGCGGTCGCAGGGGCGGGGGGGGGTCCCGGCAGCCCCCGCAGCCCCCCGGCCGCCCCCCCGCTCACCCGGCATGTGCACCATGCGGCAGTTGCAGTTCTCGGCCAGGTAGCGCGTCTCGCAGTCCAGGCGGCACGCGGTCAGGCTGTAGTTGGTGAAGAAGTCGGACTCGATGGGGGTGGCCTTGCAGTCCCCCCACGGGGGGGGCAGGTACACGAGCTGCCAGGCACCCGCTAAGGAAAACACGGCGTCCCGGGGTTCCCAGTGTCACCCCTGCTGTCGTCCCCGGTGTTGTCCCTGGCCATGCTGCCACCTCCCAGCCCACCGCAGGAAGAGCTTATCCCACACAGCCAGTGCTGGGAGGTCCTGCCACCCCAGAGCCCCCCTCCTACCCTGTGCCCTCCTTTCTGGCCTCGGGGACGGGTGTTGCAGGCAATGTCACCTCTACCAGGTGCCACAGCAAGGGTGGCACATGGCAATTGGGAGCACACGGGAGCCAGACGTGCCAGGCAGTGGGTTGGCACAGATGCCCATGCTCCCCTCGGTGCTCGCTGTGCAGCCAGTGAGTGCTGAGGGGTCCTGGTCCTGCACCCCCAGCACTCCCATTTCACCCTGTCCCTCCCTGCCAGGCGCAGGACGGGTGTCGTAGGCGATGTCACCTGCACCAGGTGCCACAGTGGAAGGGCAGGAGCCAGCGAGGGCTGGCACGTGGCACCTGGGAGCACACAGGGGCTGGGCGTGCAGGGATTGTTCCTGGTGAGGGGCCCAGCACCCCCACCCGTGGGTGCCAGGGCCACGCTCCTGCTGCCGCCGTGCTCCTGCCGCCCGCGCCACGCGCGCTGGCACACGTGGTGACGCCCACCCAAGGCACCTAAATTTAGGTGTCTGGCTGCGGGGGCCGGGCGCTGCCACCCCCCCGGCGGCTGTTCCGCAGGAGCCAGGGGGTCGCTGCCGGAGCCAGAGCCTGTGGAGAGGCCGCGTGGTCCCGGTGTGGGGCTGCCCCACACCGTGTGCTGCTCCTGGCCAGTGTGGTGGCACAGTACTCGTGGCACAGCTTGGCACGGGATGTCCCTGTGGGGATGGCTGTGGTACCCACAGCACCGCTTGGCATGGGATGTCCCTACGGGGATGGCTGTGGTGCCCATGGCAGGGTTCGGGATGTCCCTATGCCTCAGGGTGTCCCAGCGTGTCCACACCAGGCTGTCTCAAGCCCTTTGGGGGCCCATCCCAAGCCCTCTGGGGGTCCATCCTGATCCCTCGGGGGTCCGTGCCCAGCCCCGGGCGCCGTGCCCGGATACCCGCTGCTGCTGGCAGGAGACGAAGGTCTGGAAGCCGGGGGCGACGCCAAAGCCCAGCTGGTCGATGAAGGGCGGCTCCTCCTGGCTGTGGATCTGCACCTTCACCCCCACCTCGAACGACGTCTCGTCTGCAGGGCAGGGGGGTGGGGGTCAGGTGCCGCACAGGGGGGCTCACCTGTGTCCCCAGACAGGCAGGGGTCTCACCTGTGTCCCCCCAGACAGGCAGATATTCCTCCTGCTGCACGTTGAGCATGAGCTCGAGGCCGTTGCCGGAGCCCCCCTGCAGCGTGGTCAGGACCTCGCGCCCCGGCCCCCCCGGGTTGAACGTGTAGCACTTCCCCAGGCGTGTAAAGATCTGCGGGGACACAGGGGACACGGCGACGGGGCCCTGGGTGACACTGTGGGACCCTGTGAGGACAGGGCAAGATCCCAGTGCCCCACGGGACCCGGTGCAGGATCCCAGTGCCCCTCAGGACCCAGTGCAGGATCCCAGTGCCCTGGAAAGGATCCCAGTGCCCCTCAGGACCCAGTGCAGGATCCCAGTGCCTCGGGACAGGATCCCAGAGCCCGCCAGGGCCCAGAACAAGGCCAGAACGGTGACAGTGCCCGCCCTGTGCCTGGGCTGCCGCGACTCTGCAGGGATATTGGGTTTCAGTGAGGCTCCAGGGGACACGTGGGGACACTTGAGCAGGGAGGGCACAAGCCAGGATGGTGATGGAGACCGGGACTCAGTCACAGTGGCAGAGGCCACCGTGTCCCCTAAGAACCTGAGAGCCTGTCCTGGGCCAGCCACCCCAGCAACCCTGGGGACCTGCACCCCCAGCCAGGGACCTGAGGGTGACCTTGAGCCTTCAGGGACTGGCATCCACAGACAGGGCTCCCGGAGTGATCCAGAGGCCCCAGGACTGGCCCCATGGACCCCAGTCCTGCCATACAGCCCGCTGGGGTCACACCCCCCCCACTATGGGTGCCCTCCCCCCCAGTGTCCCATGGGGGGAGGGGGCGTTGCTGTGGTAACGAGCTGCTCCCAAAGTGGGGACCTGTCACCATGGTAACACGGTGCCCAAGGAGGAAAAGGGGGGGCGGGTGTCATGGCAACGACTGCCCGGCATGGGGATGCCTGGGGAGGGTATGGATGGGGACAGGGACTGGGACATGGCCCTGGCACTTCCAGCCTTCCTGCTTCCCACACTCAGGTCACCCAGGGACCCCCAGCCCTGCACCCTGGGGACCTGCTGTTTCCACTCTCTGCTGTTCCATCCCTGGACCCATGTCCCTGCACTGCCATCCTGCCCCATCCCACCAGCCCTGGTGGAGGCAAGGGGGCACAGCCCACCCTGATGGCCCTTGGGCCTTTGCCACGTGCCCAGGGACCTCGGGGACCCTGAGGATGGGGTGGGACGAGGCGCAGGGACACAGTGCCAGAGTGCAGTGCCACAGCCCAGGGCAGAGGATCCCAACCCAGGACTACGCCCTCCAGCCATATGTCCTGCCCCTTGAGCCTGGGAGCCAACGCCAGCACCTTGTCCTGCTGCAGGGGCACCGGCAGAGTGGCTCCAGCCAAGGGTGTGGGGGCACAGGGGCCATGGGGAGGGCACGGAGCTGCTGAAGGGCAGCTTGTCCCTGAGCTCCAGAGAATTAATTGGTGCTCTAAGAGCATTAAGGTGACAGTAATCGCTGGGAACAGAGATGGGCACTAGGTACAGCGGGCACGGGCTGCCCAGCATCCGCAGCACACTGCTGCAGCATGAGGGATGTGCCTGTCCTGCCTGTGCCACCGTCACCGCCCGTCCCACCGCCCCTGCCTGTCATGCATGTGCCATGATCCCAGCTAGTACCACCGTCCCTGCCCTGCTCTGGGGGCAGTGGTGGGGCCAGTGCTTGCACAGGGACCCCCACCTGTGCCAGGTGTGGAGGAGCTGCCCCTGGGAGCCTCTGTGCCAACAGCCAGGGCAGCGGCTGCTGCTGGCAGTGCCCAGGTGGTACCTGGAGCTGGAACGGGGGAGTGGAGCTGGGGGCTGTACCTGTGAGCACCCTGTACAGGTGAGAACCCCACAGCTGTGAGCACCCCATACCCGTGAGCATCCCGCACCCGCCACCACCCCATCCCGGTGCCTGCATGCCAGCAGAGCCCCCCCCTGCACAGAGCCCCCAGCACAGCCCCGCTCCAGCCTGGGCAGCGTTCCCAGCCGCCTGGCACCCCTGCAGCGTGCAGAGCAGGGGCACCCCTGGCTGGCAGCCGCTGCGTCCAGAGGGGTGGGCAGGGGCTGATGGTGTTGTGGGTGGTGGGATGCACCGGTCAGCCAGAGAAGGGGCTCACCCACAGGTGCCTGACCTTGGCAGGACACCCAGGTCCCTCTGCAGTGCCCAAGAAGGTGGGCAGGGGCTGATGGTGCTATGGGTGGTGAGATGCAAAAGTGGGATGGAAGAAGGGGCTCAGCTGCCAGTACCCAACCCCGGCAGGACACCCATGTCCTTCCACAGCCCCGGGGGCACACGGCGGGTCCCCTCCCCATCCTCGCTGTGCCCACGTGCATCGAGATGGGAGGAGGAGCTCACCTAGGGGTGGCCAACCCTGGCAGGACACCCGCGTCCCTCCACAGCCCCGGGGACACACGGGGGTCCCTGCCCCGCCCTCCGGGCACTCACCACGGTGAAGTTGCGGGCGGTGCAGCCGGTGCCACGGAAGGTGCACTGCAGCAGCATCTCGGCCAGGTCGTGGCCCGTGCGGTTGTAGAACTCGGCCATGCTGAAGGGCTTCGCCTTGAAGTTCTTGAAGTTGGCCTTGTCCCTCAGGGCAGCCAGGACGTGGGGCTCGGCCAGCTGCGGGTTGCTGATCTCGTAGCGCTCGTTGAGCAGCGCCAGCAGCTCGCCCACGTGGTACATGTCGTTGCGGGTGATTTTGGAGAAGCGGAACTCGTTGAGGTTGCAGATGGTGATGGCCGGGAAGGTGAGGTTGCGGGCGGCCACCTCGTCCAGCTTGGTGACGTGGGGGTAGGTGAGGAAGTAGGCGACGCGCTCGGCACACACGAGCAGCAGCAGCCCCAGCGAGCCCAGGAAGAAGCCGCCCCAGAGCACGCGGCGCAGGGACACGGCCCCGTAGGCGAAGACGTGGCTGATGCCGTGCAGCGAGGAGCTGTGGGCGAAGGCCCGCAGGCTCGAGAGCCCCTCGCCCTCCCCGCTGCCCTCCGAGCCCCCCCTCATCCTGCCGCCGCCGGGCCCCCGCCGTGCCCGGCACTCTCAGCCCATCGCCGCGCCGGGCTCAGGGCGCTGCCGGCGGGGAGGGCACGGAGGAGGAGGGTGGGCAGGGCAGAGGAAGGCAGAGGATGGCAGGGCAGGACCGGCCGCTCCGCTCCCCCGCGCTGCCGGTGCCAGCGCTGCCCGACCGGTGCCGCGGGGCCGCCGGCAGCGCAGCCCCAGTCCCGGTCCCAGCCCCAACCCCAGCCCAGGTCCCAGTTCCAGCTCCGGTCTCGGATCCGGTCCTGGTTCCAGTGCCAGTCCCGATCCTGATCCCGGTCCCGGATCCGGTCTCAGCCCCGGCTCTGCTCCTGCCGCGGCGCAGCCCCGATCTCAGCCCCAGCCCCGGTCCCGGTTCCAGCCCCAGCCCGGCCCTGGCCCCGGTCCCGGTCCCGGTCCCTGTTCCAGCCCCGGTCCCGGCTCCGCTCCCGCCGCGGCGCAGCCGCCGCCGCCGCCGGTCCCGCCGCCCCCCGCCGCCGCCGCCCCCGCCCCTCCCGCTCGGCTCCACCCGCCGCCCCCGCCGGCGGCCGCGGCGCTGGGGTACGGGGGGCTGAGACCCCCGGGGAAGGGAGGGGTCAGCAGCGCCCCTTCACCGGGCGGCCCAAGGGAACCCACCCCGGGGGTCGCACAGCGGTCCCCCCATCCCGGGGTCACGCAGAGGTTCCCCCACGCCGGCGGGTGATGCAGTCGTCCTTCACCCCAGAAAGATGTCACAGGGTCCCCCCACTCCGGGGGTGACACAGGGGTCCCCCATCCTAAGGCTGACACAGGAGACTCCCCCACCTCGGGAGGGTCATGCAGGGCTGATCCTGCCCAAGAGGGTCACAGAGGTTCCCCCAGCCTGGGAGGTGACACAGAGGTCCCCTACACTGAGGGGCGACACAGCAAACCCTCCAGCCCCTGTGGTCCCACAGAGGTAACCCCCAATCCCGGGGTCATGCCGGGGTTCCTGCACCCCAGGGAGTGACCCAGGGTTCCTCCACTCCAAGGATGATCCAGGGTCCTCCACCCTGGACGGGGACACAGGTGACCGCCCCGCCCTGGCGGGGGTCACACAGGGGTCTCCCCATCCCAGAGGTCACCTAGGGGGTCGCCCACTCCAGAAGTGACACATGGGACTCTGTACGCCAGGGGGTCACACAGAGGCCACTCGTCTCAGGGGTGACACAGGAGCTCCCTCACCCCGGGGGCGATGCAGCCTTCCCTCACTCCGAGGGTGACATAGGGGTCTCCCACTCCACGGGCGACATATGGGACCCCCCAGCCCTGGGGGGTCACGCAGCGGTCCCCCCATACCAGGGGTGATGCAAGGGGTCCCCACCCCAAGAAGGCCACACAGAGGTCCCCCTTGTCGGGGGGGTTCATCCCAATGAGGGGGTGACAGAGGGGACCCCCCACCCCCGTGGGCAGCGCGCCCGGGCAGGGGGCGGGGCCAGCGCCACCAGTCCCGCCCACTAAAAGAACGTCCGTCGGCGCGGGCCCCGCCCCTCCGAGCCCCCGCCCGGTGCCACGGGCGCCCCAGAGCGGCCCGGAGGATCCTACACCGCGTTCCACCAGAGCAGAGGAGAGCTCCCAATCCGCCTTCCGCCCCTCTTTATTGGGGAACAGCGGGGGGACCCCCTCAGAACACCCCCCCTGTCCTCTGGGGAACAGCGGGGGGACCCTCTCAAGACCCCTCCTTTGTTCATTGGGGAGCAGCCGGGGGGGCCCTCGCTCAGGACCCCTCCCTGGTCTGCTGTCGGATGAGCTCGGCGTAGAGCCCCCCCCGTCGCACCAGCTCCTCGTGGGTCCCCGCCTGTGGGGACAGCAGGGACGGTGTCACCCCCGGGTGCCCGCGCACCGCACCGCGCCCGCCCCGGCGCTGGTCTCACCTCGGCCACGCGGCCCCGGGCCAGCACGGCGATGAGGTCGGCGGCGCGGATGGTGCTGAGGCGGTGGGCGATGAGCAGCACGGTGCGGCCCGTGGCCGCCCGGTCCAGCGCCTCCTGCACCGCCCGCTCCGCCTGCGCGTCCAGCGCGCTCGTGGCCTCGTCCAGGATGAGCACGGCCGGGTCCTTGAGCAGCGCGCGGGCGATGGCGATGCGCTGCTTCTGCCCCCCCGACAGCGCCGCGCCGCGCTCGCCTACGGGACACCGGGGACACCGCGGCGTGGGGGACACCGCGGCATGGGGGACAGCACAGGGACACTCCGGGTTGGGGGACACCGGGGGACACCGCGGGATGGGGGACAGCACAGGGACACTGCAGGATGGGGGGACAGCACGGGATCGGGGAGACAACCATGGGGATGGGGGAACAACTGCTGCACCATCCTGGGAGGAGCCCCAACCCAGAGCCAGGGACCCTCCCCACCCAAACCCCATCCCTCCTGTGCAGACGGTGTTGCCATGGGACCGGGGTCACCCCTGCCAGGGTCCCACACCCGCCCGTGCCCCTCCCGCCCCGGCCGTACCCACAACGGTGTCGTAGCCCTGGGGGAAGCTGCGGATGAAGCCGTCAGCGTTGGCCTGCCGGGCAGCCTCGTACACCTCAGCATCAGAGGCCTCCGGCTTCCCGAAGCGGATGTTCTCCATGATGGTCGTCGCAAACAGCACCGGCTCCTGCGGCAGCGCCCGGGGCCTCAGTGCTGAGCCCTGGGGACAGCCAGCCAACCTGTCCCTCCTGTCCCCACCTGTCCCCACCTGGCTGATGAAGCCAATGACCTGCCCCCGCAGCCAGGAGGGGTCCAGGCCGGCAATGTCGTGCCCGTCCAGGGTGATGGTTCCTGCCGTGGGCTCGTAGAACCGCTCCAGCAGTGCCGCCACTGTCGACTTCCCTATGGAGGGGACCCCTCAGCCCCCTCGGCTCTGGCAGCACTGGAGGGGTCCCAGTCCCTGGCACCCACTGGGTGCACCGAGCAGAGGACTGGGGTGCAGGAGGACGTGCCCAGGGAGAGGTAAGGGACTGGGACACCGAGGTCCTGCCAGGCTATGACGTGGGGGTTCAGAGGGTCCTAGGTGGGCTGGTACCTCCTCCAGAGGGTCCTACGATGGCCACAGTCTGACAGGGGGGCAGAGTGAGGCTGAAGTCCTGCAGGACTGGGTAGCCAGGCCGGGTGGGATAACTGTAGGCAGAGGAGAGGGAGGCTGTGGGGGCTGCGGGGACACAGTGCCAGCCCCACAGCCTGCAGGGCAGCACAGGGGGCCGCAGGGGGCTCACCTGAAGGAAACACGGTGGAAGCAGATGTGGCCGCGCAGGGAGTGGGCAGGGATGGAGGCCCCCCCCTGCAGAGGCACGAGGGGCTCCAGTGTCAGCAGCTCAAAGACACGGGCGCCGGCGCTCAGACCCCGCACCACCTACAGAGGGGCAGTGGGAGCACCCTCAGACCCCCAGAACCAGACCCCCAGCCCTGGGGGTGCCAGAAGCCCCTGCCCCACCTACCTGCCCCATCAGGATGGAGATGTTGGCCAAGGACCTGGGGTGCACAAGGGGAGAGGCTGCGCTCAGGGCTGTGCCAGGGCAGGCTGTGGGGAATGGGGGGGTGCTGGGGGTACTTGGGGTAACGCCAGGCCCTGCCCTGACCTTTGCACAGTCTGCGAGGCCACCAGGAAGGACATGAGGTCACCTGGTGAGAGCTCATCCCCAGCCATCAGGGAGCCGCCGACGAAGATGGTTCCCAGTACGATGCCTGTGGGGTGGGGGGCAGAGGTGGTGTTTGGAAGGGGTCCTGCCCCGCAGCCCCCCAGGTCCCATCCCACGGCCCCCGCTCACCATTGAGTGCCAGGTTGGAGAGCCCCTGGAAGGCGGCGATGCCGAGCCCCAGCCGCTCGCTCAGCTGGCCGGAGCGGTCCACCTCGGCACAGAACAGCCTGGGGCAGGGACAGGCTGGGGTCCCCACTGCCCCTGTTGCCCCTTGCCACTCCCAAGCCCTCCACCCTTACCTTGCTTGCTGCTCCTCCATGGCGAAGGCGCGGACGGTCCGCACGTTCCCCAGCGCCTCGTCCGCCACCACGGTGGCCTTGGCCACCTGCGGGGAGAGGGGGAACAGTGGGGACACCCCCAGCTGTGGCCCCTGGGGGTGGCAGGGCTGGGCTGGGGGGGCGGGAGATGGTTACCTGCTCCTGTGCCTGGCGGGAGAGGCTGCGGAGGAAGGCGCCGATGAAGGCCCCGGCGCCCACCAGCGCCGGCAGCGCCACGACCAAGAGCCCCGTGAGCTTGGGCGAGAGCAGGTACAGCGACACGAAGCAGCCGGCGGTCTGGGTGCCACTGCGCAGGCCCTGGGGCGAGGGGCGTGGTGTGGGGGGGGGCTGGGGGCCGGGGGGCCGCCGGGCTCACCCAGGACAGGCCTGGCCTCACCTGGGAGATGGCCAGCTTGAAGGAGGACTTGAACTCCTGGATGTCGGCCGTCAGCCGCGTCACCAACTGCCCCGTGCGCGTGGCGTCAAAGAAGGCCACGTCCTGCCTGCCGGGGGAGCGGTGGGTGGGGGTCCCTGCTCCCCCCGCTCCTCCCTCACCCCCGTCCCCCCCGGTTACCTGAGCAGGGTGGTGAAGAGCGCCTTGCGCATGTCGCCGGCCACCCGCTCACCGACACGCGCCAGCAGCGCGATGTACCCGAAGGTCAGCAGCCCCTGTGGGAGGGGGGTCAGGAGGGGCGGGGGCACCCCCGGGCCCCCCAGCACCCGCCCTTTAGGGAGGTCAGCACTCACCTGCAGGCAGTAGACAGCGAGGAGGCGCAGGGCCGGGCGCTGTACCTCCCGCAGGTACGTGGGGACGTGCCCGCGGGCACACCGGGCCACCACGTTCACCAGCTGCCCCAGCAGCACCGGGATGCGCACGTTGAGCAGGGCCGCGCCCAGCGCCAGCTGTGGGGACACGGACAGGGACAGCGGGTGTCAGGCCATGGCACCGGGACAGTGGCCGTCACACCGTGGCATGGGGACAGCAGGCGCAATGCCACTGCCCAGAGCTGTGGCAGTGGGACAGTGACT